TTGAAAGTTCCAAGTCCTCTTGATTCTTATTTTAATTTAATTATGTTACATATAATTCATTAAGAAACATAAACTAGAGTGAGTTATAATTAATGAATTTTTAAAATGAGTTTTGGCGTGAAACATTTATTCACGTATTTTTATATACACTGAAACGTAAATAGTTTATATATATATATATATATATATATATATATATATATATATATATATATATATATATATATATATAATGAATGAAATGGTTACACAATCTAGATTTTCTAATGTTTTTATGTTCAGAAGTTATTGGATCTCCACTCTGTTTCTTTAAATCAAGCAACTGATTGCCAAACTGTTAGTAAAAAAATGCATTTTACCCTGAAAATTGTTGTTAACTTTGCAATAACTAAATTATTATTTCAGGCATCAACACTATTGGAATAACTTGTAGTAGAGTTTAACATTACAAAAAAATAGATAATTACTCTTATAAATCATTGTTTTGGAAACATAAAAAAAGACAAGATTTTCAGGGCAGAAAAACTCATAGGGTAACTTGGATGCAACAACTAAGGGGTTAAAGTTAAGGTTATATTCTTAACTAAATACTTATATATTTCTTTTAATATTCTTAAATTTTGTTGTAAATGTTATTTTATTTATGAACTATATTTATGAATAGAAATTTAAAAGAATTGTTATGAAGGATAAATTACCTGTGCCATTTCTAACAGGAAACTAATAACAAAAATTTTAAATCCTCTTAAATCTTCAACAACATGAATGCTTGTAAAAGCACATTGCTCACAGTCAATAAGTTGGGTGTTAAAAAAGTGGATAAAATTTCTCAATTCACTCCAACAAGGATCTTGTACGCCACAATATCTAAATAAATAAATAAAATTTAAATTTTTTTTTTCTTTTTCAACATCTTTACTTTCAATAAGGCTGCAAGCAACCACTATCAGATTTGGAAGTTACAGGAAGAGAAAAAAAGAAATTTATAGAGCAAGATAATGATAGACAGACAATTTAAAAGAGTGCAAATTAAATGAATCAGGAAAACAAGAAGGAAGTGAAAAGCAAAAAGGAAGGAAGTTTACATATCTTTTTAAGTTGTTTATTACAAAAATTTTAGTTTAACTTTCATAATTAAGGTATTATCTAACTTATAGGTATCAAATTATATTCATAATTAAATAATTTCAACTAAATATAATTTAGGTGCTTTGCATACTGATTTGTACAAATAAAGTATTACTTTTCTAATTTCTTAAAACAAAACAGTGGCTTAAAAAATCAAATTTCCTTTTATCTTAAGATACAAATTATTAACAAAAAAAACCATAAATTTATATTTATTAGTTATGTCTAATTATAAAGAATGTCTTATGGCTTATTTGTTTTAAAGTATATAATTCATTGAAATGTTTAAATTCAATTTCAATTTTATTATATATAACAATATTATAATAATATTATATTTCATTATATTCTAACACTGATAAATGCAGAGTTATGCATTGTGGGACGCATTGACAAGTCAACACACTCATAAACAGTCCAATGGAACCTGTGGTACATTGAAAGAAACGATAGTTGAATGAGACCTTGAGATCATTGTTTCCAATGACTTAAAAATTTAAGTCTAAACAGCTCAATTACAAACCAAATGCTTAATAACCTCAAAAAAGCTTCTCGTAGATGCAGACTAGTTTTATGGAAAACACTGTACCTTGCATACATTCGTCCACATCTAGATTTTGCAATACAGGTTTGATCTCATCACCTAAAAAAAGATATTGCGATGATAGATAAAGTCCAAAGGCGTATGACGAAGACAATATCTGAGATAAAACATCTACTATATGAAAAAAGATTACAAATGCTGAAACTAACATCACTTAAGGATAGCAGGAAAAGAAGTGACCTAATTCAACAGCTCAAATTTACTCAATAGATTGATGAAGTCAACTTTTATTTCCTTCAAACCTTACTAAATTCAACAAATTATAATCACAATCAACGACTTTTGCCTTAACTAATCAAAGGTTGCATTAATAAGAAATTTTTTTTACAAATAGAGTAACAAAGTATTGGAACCCCCTTTTAACAGGGAGCGGTTGACTCACTTTCTGTACATTTCTTTAAAAAATTTGTATCATTGCTTTCTTGACCAGCTGCATTGTGCGGCTTACCAAAGTCAACATAGAGGAGCCTGATGTAGCTATTCTTCATTGGTTTAGATTACATTTTCACTATAATATGTACATAGAACTGCTTTTGAATTCTTTAATATAAACATGATAGGATATGGATTATTTTAATGTACGCTTGTATTTATATGGACTTAATACTAATTTTAAAATAAATAAAACTAAAAATATATATATATATATATATATATATATATATATATATATATATATATATATATATATATATATATATATATATATTAGGGTGGCGTTTAAAAAAAAATCTGCTCTTAACCCCTAAATGTGTTCTATAGAAATAGAAAAAAACTAGGTTTGAAATTTTTTTACAAAAAAAATATTTTAGGTGGTTGCTCAAGACCCTTAAACATCGGGTGAGTTCCTAATATTATCAAAAAAAAAAATCTTAAAATGTCAAGCTAGTACCCAAAAGAAGTGAAATTAAATAGAAACTTTAAAATAACTTTTTTTTTATAGTTAGAATGTTTTAGTAATGAAAGAAACAAATTAAGAATAGAAAAAATAATTGCAATAAAAGCTGTTAACAGTACGCTTACACAAAACATCATGTACAAATATTACTAAATAATAATATAAATAATAATAATAATAATAATAATAATAATAATAATAATAGCAATAATAACTATAATATTACAATTATGTATAACTAGCAGTAAACAACCCGTAATATAGGTTATTAGTAATTAAATCATTAATAACAATAAAACACATTAATTTGTATCATAGCTTTCTTGACCAGCTGCTTTGTTTGGATTACCTGTGTCAACATAGAGGAGCCTGATGTAGCTCTCTTCTATTAGTTCAGATTACATTTACACTACAATATGTACATAGTTTTGTTTTTGTATTCTTCATCATAAACATTTTAAGACATGGGTCATTTAATGTACACTTGTATTTATATGGACTTTATACTAGTTGTGAAATAAATAAAATAAAATAAAATATATATATATATATATATATATATATATATATATATATATATATATATATATATATATATATATATATATATATATATATATATATATATATATATATATATATATATATATATATATATATATATATATATATATATTACAACATTGTTTCAATTGATTTTCAATTAAATTAAACTCATATTCTTATAATCCTAGTATATAATTTAAATATATAAAAAATGAAAAATTGCTTAAATAATTTAATAAAAATCATATTTCTTAATCATTTAAAAAAAGTAAAAAAAAGTAAAAAAATCATGAATCTATTCTTTTTTTGGAAAAAACTTACTTCAGTATTATCTTTAAACTATTTTGAAGATTTACAGCAGGATGAGTTGGATTGTAAGTGAACGTATTCAACAAGGATCTATTTGTATCATACAATTGTAAATACTGACAAACTCGTTGCATTGAGGATTTTTTGTGTTCTTCATTGTCATACCAAACCATTTTAAACATCTCTAGTTATTCATTAAAAAAAAATTAAAAAATAATATATAATTTATGTTAGAAAAATAAAGTTAAAAAAAAAAGTTTTTTAACACAAAAATAAATATAATAATCTATACAAATTATTAAATAAGTTTTTAAAATTTTAAGTTATTTGAAAAAAAAAAATCAAAATACCTTGACCTTGGAGCACACTCAAAACCTCATTGGGAGAAATGCATGTAACACATGGTAGCATGTTAGCAACTATACTAAAGCATTGACTTCCTCTGGGACCCTAAAATTGAATCAAAAGTAAAAAACTCCAAAATATGTTTTTCATACAAATATTTTTAAAGAAATAATGTTTTTTATAAAAAAATTATAAACTTTCAGATGTGAAATATATTTGAGCAATAAAGATTTAGGTCATTATTACAAAACACCAACTAGTTTTTTATTTATTTATTAGAACACCTATTACACCCTAACTATCATAACTTTTTATGCTCTAACTATCATAATAAACTTTAGTAAATACGTACATTGTCAGATTGTTCATCAGAATGGTTTATGGTTATTTCAATGATACATGTATCATTGTTATTCATTCTCCACACTTTTCCCGTACTCGTTTTTAATGATCCCAGAACAACTAAGTTAAATAAGAATGAATCCAGTCCTTCTCTAACCTAAAAAAAACAACCATTATCATTATTAGTATTGATTGTAAAAATATGATTGTAAAAATTAAAGATATGATTGTAAAAATTGTCATTTAAAAAAAAAGATTGTTTAAAGCCACATTTCATTTCTCATTTTCATGAGAATTATATTATAATCCTTCTAAAAGCATTTTCTGTCAACTTTGTAAACTGCACAGTTGACAGAAAATATTCCTAAACTCTACTTAAAGACTTTATATAAGAAACCCAAAAATGATAATTCCTTAAAAAAAAAAAAAACCTGGTGATGGTGGTTTACAGAGAGAATTAAAATATGTTCTGGATTACCTTACAATAATATTGAGATTTAAAATAGATGCATTGTGCCTTGCACTTATATTATATCATATTATATATATATATAAATGTTTCAAACTCAAAATTGTTGCCATTCTGGATAATATGGCTGTGATAGGAACTGTCTAAAGCATCTCCACACCTTTGTAACTTTAATACTATGTCATTACTAACAAATATTACCAACTTAGTTGACAGATCTTTTTTTTTTGTTGTGAAATAATTGTTTAGATAAACATTAGTTTTTGAATGGTTTGTAATGGTATCAACAAGTTATTTTTTTAAGTTGATCACAATACAAGAGTTTAAAATTTTGTAAACTTCCATCAAATTATTTGACAAAAAAAGCTTTAGTGAATTATAAAAAACATGCTTATAATTTTTTTTAAGAAAGCATATATATGGAGTCTAAATATTATTTGCATGAAAGCCATCATGTGCAAGTGCTTGCTATAAAACTGTTAGAGCAGCTACAAAACTGTTTAAAGTATTTTTAATTTACCAACTGTTGTTCATGTTAGCAATCATTTTTCTTCAAGAGTTTTCTTCAATTAAGACAAACTTAAAACAATAACTTCAGAATTCACTAAATACCAAATTAATTTCTTTGTTTTTTTTTTGTTTTTTTTGAAATAATAGTTTACTCCAAACAAACCTGGAAGCAACCATTATCTAAAATAGGAGTGACCAGGAAACAAAAAATATTGTTAAAGAGTAAAAACATTAACAAAAAATGGTTGTAGCTTGTTAACTTGATTTTTTTGAAATAGTAGCTAATGGCACTTTCTAAATAGATAACTCATATTGTTTTCATGAGAGATCAGTAGATAACTAAATTTAGTTGCAGTTAAAATTCCCTGAAAGCCACAAGGTGTTACAGAAGAGAGATCATTAGCTGCCTGTTGTGAGTAGTCAAAAAATTAAAGACATATAGTTGTATGTATATAGTTATAGAGTATATAGTTATGTTGTCAGCAAAAAAAGCCACTTTAAATGTAAGATTTTCAGGACAATCGTTAACATAGATAAAAAACAAAACAGGTCTAAGAATAGAACTTCGCAGTACCCAAGAGGTGGAATTTTTATTTTAGTATTCATAGAATTAAGGTTGTCCTTAAAAAATGTTAATTTTCAAGGACAACGTTAATACTATGTTTAGAAATATTTTAACACGAAAAATTTAATAATCACAAACTATTTTAGATACACCATATGAAGCAATATTATAAAAAAGATCCTTGTACAAGTTTTAATCAAAAGTTTTTTATATGTTAAAAGCAATAGCTCTTCCCATGCCACCCCCATCTAATTTACAATATAACCTTTCTGTTATCTAGTCAGCTGTAGAAAAAAAATGATTTTCTGAGAATAAATTATTAAATTAAAAATTAAAAACTTGTTAATATATAATTATAGTTATAGTGTTCATTTATAGTGTTCAACATTTTCCAGCAGGCAGGAAAATAAGAGTCAATTTTTTATTAAATGGTTTAGAGCAAATTGTAGAGAGTAATGGAAAACACTTTTGCAAGACTATGAGAGGAATTTTGTCTGGGCCACAATCCGTAGAAGAATTTTATTGAGAAATAACCTTAGCAACAAGAATTGAATTAAAGTTGGATAGGTAAGGAAGAGAAAATAAGGTTAGACCAAGGAAGTTTAATAAACAGGAGACGGTGTCATGTGAGTTTTTTTGCATATATGTTTAACTATATATATATATATATATATATAGATATATATATATATATATATATATATATATATATATATATATATATATACATATACATATACATATACATATATATATATATATATATATATATATATATATATATATATATATATATATATATATATATATATATATATATATATATACATATATATATATATATACATATATATATATGTATATATATATAAGTATATTTATATACTTATATATACACTTATATATACATATAAGTGTGTTTAAGTTTAACACCAAAGTAAAATTTTACCATTGGTGTGATATCAAAATGATATATTCTAGGGAAAAAAGCATTAGGTCTTTCTTCAAATTGAAGTAATCTTTCAACTATTGCATCAGTGTTAACCACTGTCCCATGCACAGAAACAATAACAACACTGTTCTTGTTTTGACTATTACTCATATTTGTTTGATAATTAGCATCTAAATGAGAAGAAAGTCGTGAGCCGCATTTTTCTACAAAAAAGGACTTCCCCATTCCACTTCTCATTGATTTCACTACGAGTGATTTGTATCTAAAAGAGCATAAATATGATAAGTATTTTTTATAATAAATTATGGCTATATATAATATATATTTATATATATATATATATATATATTGACAAACAAGTATTACTTTTATTTAATATAAAATTTTTATAGATAATAGAATTTTATAAGTAATTAAGTTCCTAATATTAAAAAATAAAAATTTACACTGATTGATTTAAAATAATTCCAGCCTTTTGATCTAAAAGTTTGTTCTGAAGACATTGTGTAAGTTTTTCACAAATCTGATCTCTACTAAGATAATTTGGTATTTTCAGTTTAAAATGGTCTAGAGCTGTTACAAGGTAAGAATTGTGGTGGTTTTCACTACTGCAAAACACTAAAAGTGGACTCATACTACCTGAAAATAAAACAAATATTACAAAAAATAAACAGAATAGAAATGAAAAGAAAAAAAAAGTAGACAAAGAATAACTATTTCATTAACCTATTTGAATCGTCTTTTGCAAGAAGGAATACATTTTTTCACATGTTTCATATTTTAGGTATTCATTTATTACTAAACAATACAAGCCATTTTTGTTGTCTACAGC